TACAATTAGTTCTTCACTAAATTCTCTCTTGTACTTGCAATAAAATCACAGCTTGACTTCACTAAAATCTCCAATTTTTCATTGACAACCGTGGTGGAATAGAAGACATCGTGAGAAGAGCCGAAATCCAAGTAAAAAATGCCAAGAAACACACCAAAAAGAAGAGAAAGAGATGAAAATGGTGAAATCATGAATATCCTAACGAAATCCAACAAAATGAAGACTGCTCAATTCAATTGAAAATGGTAGAAAACCAATATGCAAGTCTCCACTAAAATTGAAGTTTTCCTAACACTCAGAAATGTTTTCTTGAGAGTCAAGAAAGCCTATGACAGCAAATGAAGCAATACAATTGCCCCTTTGGAAATCAAACATGTACTAAATATAAAGATTGTCTTTTTTGTGGTTTCCAGAACTATGCAAAGTTATACACTAAGTGCTACCTAAAGAGGAGATGTGCTTATTGTCTAGCCAAGAAGATTCCTTTGAATATTAAAAACAAAAAGGACGCAAGTAAAATAGCACAAAAGAAAAAAGACTAAGAAGAATGGAAGCATGCACAAGCAAGACTACATTTGCTTTGACCACTTCACAACAATCTAGAGACTAACGTGGGTAAACCAAGGTTATATTTTTTATTACACTTTTATCAATTTCTTAAGAACATATAAACAAGAAAATTTTATTTAGTTTTTGATAATTAGCTTTCTCAAGTGCTAGCAGCAACCAAAAACAAGATTGTCAAATAGCAAATCTGTTAACTCCTTGTTAAATGAAGAAATCTCAACACTCAAGAAAATGAAGTCTACAAACTTTTTTTGAACACTATAACAATTGCCTAATAGCAAATTTAAAAAATGTGCATACATAGATTCAAGAACAAACTATAGATACATACCCACTATTGCTTTATGGTGAAAGCTAACATTCTTTTGGGAAACACTACATTAGTTAGTGCAAAATATGGGGTTTTTAAGCCATTATATAATGGAAACATTATCGCAAAAATGGTGTTATCACTTCATATATAATTTTTTATGAGTGTAAATCTCTAAACAACTATATTGGATTCAATTATGAGACATAAAAAGAAAGAGAGAACAAGAAGAAAAAAGAAAGAAGAGAAAAAATTGTGATAAAAGCTTTTATTAAATATTTCCTTCCACTTTGTCTATGCTTTGCCTCTATAGATCACCTCTTAACATTATAACCCCTCTTGGAAAAAAGGTTTAGTTAGTCCCTTAGCTTTTATTAGTAAATTGGAGTCTATTGGAAGGTCTCACATAAGAACTCATGTTGATCCTAGGTGATCCATGTATTTGTAGTAAAGTCAATTCCAACCTAATAAACTCGAAAATGAGGAACTCATCATCAACACAAGTTGTGATAAGCCATCTTGACCATATGATGCTCACAAACTTTCTAAAGGAGAGAAATACTAAATGAAGTAGTAATTGCTAGAGATCCTATATAGAGTTTCAATTCTGAAACATGGAAGACATCATAAACTTAGAATGATGCTAACAATTACAACCTATAGGCCACCTCATTCACACACTTTATAATCTAAAAAGGCCTAAAGAACTTTGGATGGAATTTGGAACAAACAATGGTGTTGAGAGGGAAGTTTCTCAATGGTGGGGAGAACACTCTCTCGTACTCTGAAATCCTGCTCAAAGATATCTTTTGTGTTAACTCTCTACCTTAGAAAATGGGGAAGAAAGGGAATATACCCTTACACCACACCCCTAGAATATTCCAATAGTGGAATATTCTAGGAAATCTCACACAACTATAAGCCATCTCCTAACAAGCAACCACAAAAACTATATCGTGTGTAAGAACCCACAATCAAAGTGCTAAAGTAAACTTCAAAGTGATACCTAATATCAATAACTGTTATAAGGAGAAGTGACTAAAGAAAAATAAAGAAAAGAAAACAAGAAAAAGAAAGAGAGTGTAAAGTTTTAGAGTCAAGAGGAAACCACATGAAAAAACTTGATAAAAGAATTAGACACTAGAATAAGAGGAAACAAAGTGGAGAAAAGAAAAGTGAAAATAAAACAAAAAAAGAGAAGAAAGAGAAAAATAAAGGAAAAATAGAAAAAAGAAGATAGAAATATAAAACCAAATAAAAGAACCACATACTTGGACTCTAACTTAAGTCTTCCTCACCTCTAGAAAGTGTTGAAAACATAGCTTAATTGCTCTCAAAGTTCCAAAGGAATGAAGTGATAAAAGTGAATATGTTGTTTGGGAATAGTAATTGCAAGAATGATAAAAGACAATGCTCTAATAAATGAATATTAGAAGGCAGTGATAGCCAATTGTAATAGGGTGATAATGGGATTTAACATCTTATGAATATGGTTTAAGTGGTTAGCAGCATATGTATTTATCGCAGTAGAAGAAAAGGTTTGTAGTCTTTGTGGGTGTAAGCAACCAAAGAGAACGATTTAAGAGACGATTTATAGGGTTCAAATATAAAGAGAAAGGGCCCATAAATAAAAGTGCACCCCCTTTTTCAATTGATTAAGGGTCTTGAAATACTTAGGGTTAATCATCATTAGGTTTGAAT